CGCTGCAAGCGGCGCCACGTCGGGTTAAGGAGAGGGGTGTGTGTGGTGAGCCACACCCCCACCGTGAAGATCGAGGGGTATATTCATGTGACGCCGCGCCCTTGACGCGGCCGTGACGGCAGGCAGTTGTTTGCATGCAGCAGTTGCTTGCGGCGGCCCCAAACAGCTGTCATGCTCTTCACAGCGTGCAGGTTGAGATGCTTGACAAAAGCCTGGTGTTTCTCTGTGGGTCAGCCGCGGTCGTGATCGTGCTTGCGTAGATTGCGCCCCCCACACCCAGTGTAATCACATGGAGGTGGACCTGCCGGCGCGCCTTCTGCAGTTTCGCAATGAGTGCGGCGTGCTGGGCCGTGGCTGCTGCAATTGTTGGGTCTGGGTTTGTGTCCCTGCAGTACTTGATTTCCACAACATGATGCCGCCAGGGTTTGGTGCGACCACTCGCTTCAGTATCTAGCTTGGGCTTCTCTAGGGAAGCACTGCGCTGAATCTGTCTGCTGCCGGAGAGTGATGGCGCGCTTCAACAGCAGCTATTTGCGGGCGTTGCAGTGCGGTCGGGTGCTGCACAGGGCAGCCCCCTTTCTCTGCTGCTGTTTGTGGCAGCGATGCAGCCTTTGGCAGCCCGCCTCTCGCTGCCATCTGCAGGCCGCGGGAGCCATCGACGGGATTTGCCTGCCAGGCGGCCCGGGGCGGGGGCTCCTCCCAAGTCCTTGCGGGGCTGGGGGCCTCGCTCCGGCTGCTAGCGTGTGGTCCCACCATGCGCTGGCGGCGACACCGCGTCTGGGACGGGCTCAGCGGCCGCATCTGCGCAGGTGTCATCCAGGTGCCTCGTGTATCTTGACGTCCAAAAACAGCAATTCTTAAGACGTGGGCCCGCGGGAGCGCCCCCGCTGCACCGTCTGCCGGCGTCCTGTTCCTCGACTACGAGGAGGCCGCCATTTTTTTATACACGTGAAGTTACACGAAAGATTGACGACACCCGCGCAATTGCAGCCGTCCAAGCCCGGCCCCGCCGGGGGACCGCACACAGGGCGCAAAACACAGCACGGTGCCAACTGAGAGCAAGCAGCGACCACGGTGATTGCAGGGACACGAGCACGGCAGCGGTGACACCCCCTCCGCCCCGACAGCAGCCCGAGTCAAAGGGGGCGATGCGTGCACAACAAGATCAATCCCGCCGGGAACGGCGAGCCCCGAAGGCTACGAGGGATGCGCAAAGCGAGACAAGCTCAGCCGCGCGACTGACATGTGATGAACCTACGACGCGGGGCATGCAGCCCTAGCGAGCGCGGCCCAGGGTCCGCCAGCGCTCCGCGGCCCCCGCAGCCGTGTACCATTGCACGCATCTTCACCGGTCGCTTGTTCAACTCATCCCCAGCTACATACAGCTCCGCCAGCTGCAACCGCCTGGCGGGATGCCTGTGTTTTTTAGGACAGTCAGTCACACGGGGGTAGCGAGGTGCCGGCCGAGCACCTGCGTGCAACCTCGGAAGTGACAGGTGAGCCTGTGTTGTGGCCAGCCCGCCTGCGAAGGGCCGGGCGGCGGGGGCCCAAGGCCCTATGCCGGAGCTGCGGCCGTGGGATCCCAAGCCGGACGCCGAGGTGCCCCGTGAGGATGTCTACCTCGCCGGTCCCTGGGCCCTCACGTGCTTCAATGTCTCGTTATGGGGCCACGGCTCATCAGCTTCACTCACTTATTTCTTTTGTTCAATACATGTGAAGTTACACGAGAGACTGAAGACACCTGCACAGACAGATGCGGCCGCCCGAGCCCGCCCCAGACGCGGCGTCGCGGCCAGCGCGTGGTGTGACCACAGCGCGTGGTGTGACCTCCAGCCTCCCAAGGACTTGCGAGGAAACCCCACCCCTGCCAGGAGGACATACACCGGGCACAAAACACTGCGCAACACACATCCTCCCTCCTGGCCGGGCCGGACCGTCCTGGCCGGGCGGCGCCGGCGCCGGCGTCGGTCGCGGGGGCTGCGTCGCGGGACTGCATGCTTCCGAGTACCGCCCACACTGGTTCGACCCATTGCCAGACCGACCATCACCAGCAGCGACAGCACAGGATCGAGAGGATCGCCGAGCACAGGCGGCGGCGCCGCCGCCTGCCCCTGCCCGGCAGGTGGACGGCGA